AAATAAACATCAAATATGTTTCAGTTATTTCTGTGCTGTGTTTGTTTCTCGCACTTGGCCAGTTCCCAGGCAGCAGCAGCAGCAGTCACCTAGCATAGAGAGAGAGAGAGAGAGAGAGAGAGAGAGAGCTAGTGAGAGAGAGTGTCTCTCGCTGCAATCGCATCGCTCCAATCGAATGCAATTTAAATTTCAATTTAATTCGCAACCAGGCGAGAGATAATTTCTATAATTGTTTGTACAAATTGCTAACCACGACTCGCAGCAGCAGCCAAAAGCCGCAGTTGCAGCAGCCATCGTCGAGCGTCGACTTTCATTGAACGTTTATCGGCAAATATCAGTTTTCATGTAAACATGCAATACATTTCGCATCTACCCGAAAACCAGAAAACGTGCCTGGTAATTACGGCAGCTGCTCTGCTCCGCAGATAACTTCGGCTGGCAGATGCAGCCGGGCTCGAATATTGGCTGGGATGCCGCGATTACTTCGCCTGAATTTATGCCGTTGCCTTCGATTATCAATCAGTGCGTGCCAAAACTGTTTTGTCAGCTGCGCTAAGTAGGAGCTGCATTAGCTCCGCCGATAGACGACGGGATGGCCAGCTGCTGCCAAGGCGAAGCCGGTCTCTGCCAACTGGCAACAGTGTCTGCATTATTTAACATCTCTGGCATTTTAGCACTGGACATGTTGACATTGTCCAGCGCCACCTCTTGCGCCTTGACGAGGGCTGCACACACAGTTCTCTACTCTAATCCAGTTGGTTAGATGAAGCGTGAAAAATGTTTATGCAGAATGAAATAAAAGTAAATAACTAATAATTATGACTATATATAAATACCTAACTATATTATATAAATGAGAACTGCTACTGCTTGAAAAGGAAAATCCATAATGATAAAAGATAGGGAATACCAGCTATAAATAGGTCAAACTGCAGACAGATAAAAATAAGCCAGAACTTGCCCAAAAGAAGAACTTAAGTTCGAATCAAGTAGAAGCAACTGCAAGCTCCATTAAACATTTTCTTGTTCATCTATATAGACTTTATACATATATATAGACTTTAATCTTCGTCAATAATTGCTTTTCGCAAATTGCGAATTTTTACAGCTCGCCTTAGAGAGTTTGTTGGCATGCTGTGACTTTTATGGATTTTAGTTTTGAGCGCATAATCAGGCGGCAAATCACGGTGTGTGATCGTTGTGCCATAAATCACAGTGACAATCGTGACTCTGGTCGTGATTTTCGGTTAGCCCAGCCCTCGTCGCAAGTGCGAGTGGAATGCGCAGCTTTTCATGCGTAAATTTATGTGCCTGCCAAGCGTCGTAAACATTTCTCTAACTTGGCACACGGCTTTCTTTTGCCAGGCCCGACTTCAGCTGCAGCTCCAGCTCTAGCTCCAGCTCTAGCTTCAGCTCTGAGTCTTACTTTGACTCTGGCTGAGTGTCCGTGCTTTGCGCAGCTGTAGCGTTTCACCCACGCCAGCCCAAAGCGACGGCACATAACTTAGCTACAGAGGTGTGTGTATGTGTGTGTGTGCTGCTCATATGTCGGCGCAATTTATGAGTGAAAAGCTGCGACTTTTACAAATGAAATTGCCATAAATTCAATTAGTGGCGCTGCCCTGGTCCATGGCTGCGCTTCAATTGCAAATCAGAGCGAATCAACAATGGATCTCGAGTATCTTCAGCCGCCTAAAGCAGGTCGCCTTTGCGCACCAATTCCTCTTATATGCCATATATATATGTATGTTTTTAGCCATCAAACGGTCTTAGCCAATGCTAATGCCAAATTAATTTCGCGCATTAGTTCCAATTATGGAGCAACTGGAGGCGTCTGCACGCTCGGCACGCTTCAGGGAACTATTTATTTAGAGTGAGTCTAAGCGGAATACGTAAATCTTTGGGGTCCCCTTTGAAGTTGGTTTCGTGGTCTGTTTGCTTTGTTTCGGCCTTCTAATTGGCTGCCGTCCATCTCTGACCAGCCCATGAAATTTACATGAGAAGCCAAACTAAACAAACCTAGAGAAACAATTTGTATCAATTGTAAATATTTTTTTATAGAAATGTTTTCATTTGGAGCATGAAAACTACAACAAGAACAACAACAAGAACAACAAACAGTGCCCACCAAGATAATAAACCTTTGCGTAAATTTCTTAAAGCCATTGAGATTGATGCGTTGCCCAAGAGTTACATGTGTGTCGAGTAAATGAATTCCATTGGCCAGGGGTTGGGCCATCATTCAGATGGCAGATACGTAGCAAAAGATGCTGATTTAGATGGAGGAAAGCATAAAATGTAAATCATGTCGATGAGATACGAGACTCGAGAGTCCAGCTGATTTTCGAAATGGCCAAAAATGGCCAATAGAAGAGTTTCAGCAAGMACGATGGCAGGCAGGGGARGCAGCTGCTATTATCTTAGCAATTGCCAWCACAGTGTTTGTATGACAGAAATTGCCTTTTAAAATATTCAGCCGGGCACAGCTGCTCTTCAACAGCAACAGCAACAGCAACAGAAACTTTGCTGCTGAGCAAACGCAATCAAACTTACGCAAACTTCGAGGAGAAAGAGTTAAATATTTATCTGTAACTGAAACTTTGACATATGCGTAAGTACTCGAACTTATTAACATAGTTATTGTTGCCTCATGCTTTTCCCGGGCCATCCATAACTTTGGATGTGCTTCCGCCTCCCCCATCGTGCGCTCTCTCACACTCGCTTCCTTTCAGCATAACAATAACAAACATAACAATAACAAACGGAACAAAAAAAAAAAACTGAGCTCATCGAAAAGTATCTTTAAGCTATCTGCCACGCCTTTTGTTTGAGTGTATGTATTTATTCATAGACATATGCATATACATACATATACATACATATCTATGCTAACTACACACATCTGTTTGCTTTTTTTTCTGGAATTTTATTTTGACTTTGTTCTCGGAGTCAGCTAATTTGTTTACCTGCCCGCTGAACAGAAATTCATTTTTCGTTGCTTTATTTTTATTCCATTTATTTCTTTTTTTCCAGCACTTGGCGAGCGCTGCAACAGGTAAGTCCTCGACAAATCAATTTCAATTTAACTGTTGCCAGCGCCCGTGTGTGGGTGTTGGTCCACAGCTTTTCATATTGCTTTCAGTTCGCAGAATTCTTTTTGGGATGTATTTGCCGAAATATGAAAACGTGCTGAAAAGCGCTTTACAAACTTCTCGCCCCTCCACTGACTCATATCGAATTGTGTAAATCAAATCAAATGCTAAACACATGCAGAGCGTTTGCTTTGAGCAGCCCATTCAAATTGTTGTCGAAAAAGTGGCACAAAGTGGCCAAAAAAAATGAAAAAAAAAAAAATTCAATGACTTTTTGGCTAAACGAGTTGAATGAACAACGAAAATAATAAATACGCCCGTGGCATAAAACTTTGGCGTCTTCCATAATTATCGAGCGTTGTCTGGTCTGGGTCATAAAACTCTCCGAAACTCAGCTCAAGTTCAGGCCACAGATTTATTTTGGCTCAATTTTCGCTACGCATGTGAGGCCCTAAAGTTTCCCATTGATTTCTTGCGGTTCTTGTTGGTCTTCTGCTCCCCTTTCACTCTGTGTGGCAAGTTTTTGTTTTTTATTCATGCAGATGTATATATATATAATTTTGTATGCTCTCGTGCAGGTAGCAGCTGCGCCTAATTGCCAAAGTATCTTGCAGATACATTTCTTTTGTCACGTTAGAACGCGCACGCTCGCTCCGCTGATGTCAGACAACCTTGAACCCTTTGTTTTAGTTTCAAATACATGCTGAGTGCGAGAGAGAGATAGAGGTAGGGAGAGAGGGAGACAGACATAATAAGTAAATAAATACACACTCTACTCATACGAGTGCTATCAACAACTTTTGCTTTCGTTGTGGGGCGCTCAATGTGCTAATTGGCACGGAAATTATATTGAAGCCGGTTTCAAACCAATTTAGCAACCAGTTTTTGGTATTAGTCGAAATAAAGCTCAAATATTTGAATTGCCTTTTGATTATTTCGGAGTTGTTGCGGAGTTGTTTCTTATAGGCCTCGTCAAGGGAGCCAGAGTTTTGGAGGCATATCAACTATGTGTTAAAGATGTGATATGTAAAATGTTCAATATTTATGAATACCAAAATAAGGTGCAAATAGGGTAAAGAAAGAGGGGGAAAGAGAGAGAATGGAAGCTTATACTTTAATAAGACACGTAAGAACGAAAGGTTAAGGGCTACACAAGTTTAATGGATGATATACATGTGACGGAGGTATTGGTATAACAAGAAATCCAAACAAAGAGAGAGAGAGAGAGAAAGAAAGAGTGAGATGGAATAAAGGAATTAGTTATAGCTAAACAGAGAGAGAGAGAGAGAGTAAAGGGCTACAAAATGAGAAGTCTTGAGAGAAAGGAACAGAAAGTCTGAAATAATACATGATCAAAAGAGTTAGTGGGAAATTCTTAGTGTAAAAGAGAGGAATTACATCAGTTCTACATCAACGAAAACCCGCCAAAAATAAAAGGCTCTATTTTCCTAGACTTTATTTCTACTATAGACAGAGACAAAGAGAGACACCAAAAGCAGAATTATAAGGGGATAGAATCAGAGAAAAATTTAATAAATTCATGATCAGTGGAAGGTATTCTGTTCTATTTGCCAAACTGAGAGAAAAAGGCTAAATAGGAGGGAAAGTTAAGAGACTTTAAAACAAAGATGTGCAAAAATCAAATCAGCTTTGCTATTTATATAGCCCACTGAGATCTCAGTGCTCGGCCAGGACAAACATCTACATATTTGCCCATTTGACTTAGCGGCCAAGTGTAGCTGCATAAATTGCAGCGTTTGCTACTTGAAGACGTAGTTATCTATTGGTATCTGCAACAATGTTCATGTTGCAACAGCAACAGCAACAGCAACAGCAACAACAACGAGAACAACAACAAGAACAACAACTCACTTGCAAGAGCGCTATCACCAGCTGTATGGGTCCACAGCGTACGACAACGGTGCCAATTGTGGTGGCACGCAGCGAGGAGGACGTCGTGGCCTGGCTCGGCGTTGGCGACGATGATGACATTGTTGCTGAATAATTGAAGGCGTCTAGCTGCGACTGTGACTGCGAGTGCGAGTGCGACTGCGACTGTGGCTGTAGCTGGAGCTGGCGATTCGAGGAGCTGGCCGAGTACAGTGAAGACATCGATGAGTCTAACGTTTGACGACGTTCCATGTTGTGGCTGCCTCTTCCTCTGCCTCTGTCTCCCTGTGTGTGTGTGTGTTGAGTGTTGTTGTCGGCTTAGTGGCTACGTGTTCGAGTTGTTTTGTGTGTAGGCGTGGGCGTTGTTTAATCTTTCCCGTTTAGTTTTCTTTTGTTTTCTATTTTATATATATATAAGTATTTATTATAGCGCGCGTCTTTCGCTTAGTTGTTGTGCATTTTGTTTTCGTTTTGTATTTATTGTATTATTCCCTTAAAGAAATTTGTTTAGCTTAAGTTAGTTTAGTTTAGTTTAGTTTGGTTTGGTTTGTTGCTTCGTTGTTCGTTTTCGCGAATTTCCTCGATTTTCGTTTGTCGCGCTCGCTATCAATGCTGGCGATCGTCTGACGGCCCCCCAACACACTGAATACTCTGAATACGCTCTGAGCGAAGAACTATGGCAAATAGATCGACTATGACTTCATGCCTCGCGCTGCCTGTTTATTATTGTGTGCTAAGCACAACAATGTCTACACATCTATATATTTATATACAATATATAAGAGTACACCTATACAGCTGTATTTTGCATATGCGCCCGAGCGAATTTTTAGCGCTGCCTTTGATGCGTGCGTCGCACCGATCTTTGCTCGGCCCGATGACAATGCTCAATTTGCGCTATTTTTGAAAATCAAACTAAAACGTAGAACTACGCGCATATTGAGTAATTCTCAGATGCTGCTGCTGCTGCTGCTGCCATCCTCTGTTTGAATAGCCCACATTTGGCGGATGTGCGTCAGGCTAATCATTGTTGCTGTATTGTATCTGCGAGATACCGAGATACAATCGCGCACATGAGCCAAAAATTGTTGCAGTGTCTGAAAATGTTAACCTTTTGGCTGTTGGGTGCCTTTGCTCTCTCTCTCTCTCTCTCTCTCCCTTTCTCTGACGCTTGGCTGCTCAATCAATTGCAACTGTTTCGGTTTGGCAGAAATTATGGCAGCTTTCATTTATTTTTGAAATATTACGCATACGCAATGTGAGCCRATGCTGCCCTGTGTGTGTGCGCCCGGCTGTGGCATTAGGTAATTCCATGTTAGTTTCATTATTTTCTTGATTTTTATGGCCAAAACATTTGAAGCGATTTCTCGTATGGGGCAATGTAAATGATTTTAATTGTACTTTTTCTAAAAATAAACAGCCACTATAAAAATGCGGCACACACACATACACCGATAGATAGAGAGAGATGCAGCAGATGCCTGGAAATGAGGCGTGGCTGCCAGAATTTTTGGATGTCTGCCTGCCTGCCTGCCAGCCTGTCGCTAGCGAACTCCCCGACAAACGTCAATTTTAACTAACAGCCCCAAAAAGCTAGTCAACGAAATGATATTTATTTTTCGTGTCTTTCGCTTTTTGCAATTCTTGTCTTGTCTCTAGATTTGACGATGGCCAACAACAATAAATAAATTAGAACACAATTTGTGCCTCAGCATCAATTTTGTATATATATAAATGTGTGTGTATGTTTGTGTATGTGTTTTTGCTATTGTATTAAATATAATTTATCTAGCATTCAATGCCATTAGTTGTTAATTTATGGCGAGCGTCAGAAATTCATTTACATTTCGATGCCAAATTTACATTATTCAAAAACTTTATTCGCACATTTTGATGTTGTTCTCGAGCGAACAGAGAAACACGACGAATCGATGAGCAAATAGATTGAAAAGAAAAGAAAACGCGCGCGCCGCTTGCGCCACAACCGAACGACGCGAACTTCGAACAAGACTGAGCAGCTCAACCGGACGACAGCAGCCGCCGGATCGCCGCGAGATCGGGTCGATTGCCAGTGCGAGTGCGAGCGCGAGTGCCAAAACCGGGGGAGCCCGGCACTTAACCGATTCGCTCAGCTTTGGCGCTCTCAAACGACGCAGCTCGCTTGCCGGCTGAGCTGGGCCAAGCTGAGCTGGGAGTGAGAGGGTGAGAGGGAGAGGGAGAGAGAGCGAGTGAGCGAGGCAGCGTGAGAGCGGGTGCTGGCAGAGTGGGAGGCGGTGACGACATAAATAAACAAGTGCTCTTGGCATTCGTTGCGTCGTTAATTCATGATTTCAATTTTTAATGCCCTGCGCCGGCAACAGCAACTGCAGCAACAACAACAACAACTACAACTGCAACAATGTGCTCAAGCATAGCTTGTACTTTAATAACAGACACAACCGAAGAGGCAGCAACAACAACAACGGCAACATCCACAACCTGACTGCATCGTGTCTTAATAGAATGCAACAGGCGGCCGCCCGCATTCACAGCTAACCCGCTTCCGCCTCACTTCCCCCTTGCCCCTCACCCATCACAGTTTTACGCTACTTGAGCGTTCAAAATGCGTGTGGCAGGCACTGCTCGAGCAGCGCTGACCAAARGCATGCAGCACGAGAGGGCGATAGTGGTTGGGCGAGGGGCAGGGCGGGGTGGGGCAAGTTAGTTCGTGCCGTTCGTGTTGCTGCATCYAATCAACGTATTCTGTTATTATTTTGCAGCCTATCAACGGCACCAAAAATTGATTGAATTATACTTTGCGGCCAGCTCCGAGCAGCGAGCAATTTGATTTGATTGCTGCATGGCGCTTGACTGCTGTACATAGWTGAGCAAGGGAGGGGAGGGGCAGTTCATAAGAACTTTGAACTAAAACTCGCATGTGCAGAGAAGGGTCACCCCTCCCTTTTGTGTATATATTATTCAAAATGTTTATTTTTTTTTATTGAGATTAATGAGACATTTGAGTAGCTGAAATGCATACACATATGCATATGTGTGTGTGTGAGTGTGACAGCTCTCACACATCAATTAAAATCACTTAAAAAGCATTTGATAAATATTTATGAGCAGACCAGGTCGAGGCAATTCAAATTAGGCAAGTGTTGTGGGTGCTCATTGAACCGCTCGACTGCCCAAGGGTTAAGCTTTGGCTTTTACAGCTGCAGCCAAAAGTTATGCAACAATAAATTACGGCTAAAATGCATTACTATATGGAAATGTATATTTGTTCATTTGTCAATTCAGCTATATTCTCTGACTTATTTGTGACTAAAAAAGTGTGTTTAATAAATGTATAAAAATTCATTAATAGCTAAAAAGTAAAATTAAATTTATATATAATTTGTGTGCTTTTAAATAAATTAGAAATAGAGTTTAAATTATTTTGGAATTCTCTAATTGTCGCAAGCAAAACAAACGAATTAATTAGGCTAATTTCATAATTTAAATAAATACAACTAAAAAGCAATAAACACAAAGACATTCGTTTAGCTCATGCGCTAAAATAACTAAATTAGAGGCGAACTTAAAATTAGACATAAAATTAAATAAAATGCCAGCAAATTCGTTTTTGGCAAGAAAGAAAAAAAAAAAAAAAGAAATGAAATAAAACAAACAAACAACAAAGAAGAAGAAAGCGGAGCAAAGGCAAATGGCGCATATTAATTAGGCGGGTTCTAGTGGGGGGCTCTCGAGGAGGCGCCGGAGGCGCGGGCGACTCTCTCAGAGAAATCCCTTGATCGTTTGCTTCGTTATATTCTCGTAGTATTTGCTGCGGCGCCACGCTGCTGGCGGCGTCGTCTGCTGCGCATTGTCAGCCGTGGCAGCGCACTGGGCACTCACCTCCGGCGTGACGGCCGTGGAGACGCTGGGCAGGAGCTCGGTGCTGATGTGGGCCGCGTCCAGGCCGTAGGCCTCTAATTCGCTGTCCGATTCGATGGGCTGGGCCAGCAGCTTCAGCTGCAGCTGTTGCTCTTCTTCGGGCGTGGGCGTTACGCTTTGGCTGTGCAGCTCGGCCACGCCCACCACGCTATCCTGATCCTCCGCTTTGAGAGGCTGCTGTGCWGAGAAGTAGCTCAACTCGGAGCTCTCGAAGGACATGTTCACTGGGGACTGCGGCAGCTCGGGTATTTCAAAGTTGCTCAGCGTCGAGTCGTCCGCCTCGTCAAAGGAGTTCTTGGCGGAGCCAATGTAGGAGCTGGTGCGGCCCGAGGCCGTTTGAAAGGAAGACGAATGCGAATTGGGCGTAAAATTGCCCTCGGAGGCCGTGGCAAAGGACTCATCTTCCGTCGAACGCGACTGCCAGTCCTGCATGCAGCGAATGGAAACCGAATGAAAGAGCCCCCAAAACAAACATAAGCGACAGCAACTGCCACCCAGCTCAGCCCCTGGGTCACTTACCTCGCTGGCCATGCCCAGCTTCTTGTGGGTGGCATTGGTGGACAGGTCCAGCTCGGCGCCGCTGCAGTCTCGTATGACCGCATCCAAGGACTCGGCCACCTCGGCAATTGCGCTCAACTTGTGCGAGATGGCGGCACAGGCCAGGTCATTGCTGCCCGTCGGCGTCACAGTCAACGTGGCTGGTGTTTCCGCCTGAATGGACTCGCCGCTGCCCGTGCTGCTGTTGCGTCCGCTGTCGTGCATCGGACTCGGACTGCTGTCCAGCGGCAGCTCATCCGGCACAACGCTGTAATCACATGAAAACAAATTGGGTTTACTCAACTGCTGCTGCTGCGGCTGCTCGGCTGTCGAGTCCACTGAGGCGGTGCGCGAGTGCAGGGGCGAGGGCTCATCGGTGTCCGTGTAGTCGCTGTGCGGATATGTTTCGCTGTCGTTGCGTATGAGCGCCTTAATCYTGTCGAGGCTGTTCTGGCCAGGCTGCTCTGGCGGGCCATCTGGCTCCTCTTCCTCCTCTTCTAAGGCGTCCTCCACAATGATGTCGCGCTCTATGGACGCCTTGGCTATCTTGGTCTTAACACTT